GATGAAGATTGTTTTTTGTTTGTTTATAAGATGCCATTTTTCACTGCGATAGCATCGCACGGATGTGTGCGGAATTGTGTTTTCGAAATGGTAAATTCTGTAGCTTCAGAAACGGTGCGGAGGTCGAGGTGAACTCGAGCCGGCAAAAAAACAATATTGTGAAATTTATTAAGGGCAGCAGTCTACCGGATATCCGATCGGATATCCGAATCCGACTGTTATTTTTTACAGGATATCCGGAATCCGGTTATCCGGCAAAATCTATATCCGGCACATCCCTAATCAAAACATTAACATATACCTAATATGAATATAACGTCACCAAAATGTGGTTTAAAATTATAGTGCACATTTTTTCTAATATTGTAAGATTTTGAATGATTCCCGCTGTCTAAAACTTTGCTTGGTCTCGAAGGGTTATATGGCTTTGAACGGAGCTTTACGTTCCCGCATTAGTTTAATGTGAATCTCAAAACTACGCATGACGTTGCAAGGGCAGACTACTTTCGCATTTTCGTACTGCGAAACAGATTTGATGACCTGTGAAATATTTGAAAACATCTACTAATGGCTTTATTCATATATAAGAAAGTAGCTTTATAAAAGTNCTTAGAAACCTGACGGCGCGCCTGCGCGTGACGCAAAGAAACAGCCGACACGCTGCCCCGAGAACGAGAATCATCTAAAAGGTTACCACACTTGACAACACTGCCGAAAAACGAGCGTGCATTTTCGAGAAAATTCTTGATTCCAAGCCCACCAGTTTTTCATAAGTGTATCATAACGTGAATAATCTGAAGGTCAGCTTCCGTCGTATGTCAAATTAGGCAGTGTATCTGTGTATGGTCTTCTGTTTGTCTTGCGCGAGGTCAAAAATTGTAAGATTTTGAATGATTCCCGTTGTCTAAAACTTTGCTTGGTCTCGAAGGGTTATTTGGCTTTGAACGGAGCTTTACGTTCCCGCATTAGTTTAATGTGATTCTCAAAACTACGCATGACATTGCAAGGGCAGACTACTTTCGTATTTTCGTACTGCCAAACAGATTTGATGACCTGTGAAATATTTGAAAACATCTACTAATGGCTTTATTCATAAAAAAGAAAGTAGCTTTATAAAAGTTTTAAAAATTCAAAAATGTATGAAAACGTCAATTTATAAAGCTCTTTAAACCTACTTTATATTTTTTACTAGCCTGCAACAGATACGCGAGGCTTCGCCGCTCGCTGAATGTATGCATATTTATGTACATTTACATATTTGGAGAAAGAAATCATATGTCATCATGTACTTCGTTTATTATAAACATAAAAACATCTTGTCTTAATCCGCTCAGTAGCGTGGTTAAAATATCTCGCCTTTCCTTTATACTATGTATAGAAGATAATAATTTTAAATAGGTGGCAACCCTACTCAAAACTTTAAGTTTTTGTACATGCGAAGGCCATGCACTTTAATTTTTTATCTTATTTTTTTATCCCATGAACGGTGAAGATCTTCTAGTTTTTAAACAGGTGGCAACCCTACTCAGAAAAATAATACACNCTCGCCTTTCCTTTATACTATGTATAGAAGATAATAATTTTAAATAGGTGGCAACCCTACTCAAAACTTTAAGTTTTTGTACATGCGAAGGCCATGCACTTTAATTTTTTATCTTATTTTTTATCCCATGAACGGTGAAGAGCTTCTAGTTTTTAAACAGGTGGCAACCCTACTCAGAAAAATAATACACTATTACACATCCAAAGGCTAAGTCTTTTCGTTTGACAGTGACGGTACAGAAATGATGCCTACGCTTATTATGATTGACTATGGTAATTTTATTAACAGGTGGCAACCCTATTTAAAACAAAAAATCTTGAGTGCTTTTCAAGAGGCCAATCCCTTTCATTTGACATCTCATCTTTTGTAATTCAACGAACGGTGCGGATTTTACAGTTAAAATATTACACAAAGTTTGAANACGCTTATTATGATTGAATATGGTAATTTTATTAACAGGTGGCAACCCTATTTAAAACAAAAAATCTTGAGTGCTTTTCAAGGGGCCAATCCCTTTCAATTGACATCTCATCGTTTGTAATTCAACGAACGGTGTGGATTCTACAGTTAAAATATTACACAAAGTTTGATATTGAATTTAAATGGTTTTTGTTAAAGAATGAATTATATTTTTATAAGAATAACTCAAAGTAACAAGCAAAAAAATAATAACTGTGAACCGCTGTATGTACACTCAGAAAAAAGCATTTCCTTAAATCAAGAAAACAGTATCCTCATTTTCGAAATACGAAAAATTTACTCAATTTGAGAAATTTTTCCTTAATTTAAAAATAGGGCGTCATTAATTTGAAGAAGTAAATTTACTCAATATAAGTAATAAACCTTTATAGAAAGTAGTTCGGTTTTCGGTTCGGATCAAACATTTGTTGAAAATTTTGGTTCGGTTAATGGTTCAATTAATTAATTAATTCAATTATATCAATCAAATAATTAATTCAATTAATGTGGCGTTGCGTGAAGACTACTGCTTTAGGTTCTGAGATTGCAGGTTCGAATCCGGTTGAAGGTGGTTTNTCGGTTCGGATCAAACATTTGTTGAAAATTTCGGTTCGGTTAATGGTTCAATTAATTAATTAATTCAATTATATCAATCAAATAATTAATTCAATTAATGTGGCGTCGCGTACTGCTTTAGGTTCTGAGATTGCAGGTTCGAATCCGGTTGAAGGTGGTTTGAGTAAGGTAAGATTATTATTTTAATTTAAATATAAATTATAAATTGTAAAATTAATTTCATATATGGAAAAACCTAACTACTCAAATAACATAAAAAATAAATTAGATATTTTTTTAAATACAATTAAAAAAATAAAAATTAAAAAAATAATTTAAAAAAAANAGATTATTATTTTAATTTAAATATAAATTATAAATTGTAAAATTAATTTCATATATGGAAAAACCTAACTACTCAAATAACATAAAAAATAAATTAGATATTTTTTTAAATACTATTTAAAAAATTGCAATTAAAAAAATAAAAATTTAAAAAATAATAAAAAAAAAATTCTGCTCTGGGACTCGAACCTTGCATCTCTCGACTAGCACTCCAGAGCTTTGCTCTGTCGGCCATTGTCACTGTTTGAGCGCCGCGAGCAAAATAACATACTTATTCCTTTCACGGGAGGCAAGTAAACTTTCCCTAAAAATTAAGGAATTGCGTTTTCCTTAAACTGAGTAAAATCGTTTACTCATATTTAGGCAGCCATGTCATTGGAGCCATTTCGAGGTAATATTTCCTTAGAATAATATACTTTTTTCCTAGCATCAAGGAATTCTTTTTCTGAGTGTATACAAATATATTATATGTAAATTTTGTATTCTTTATTTGTTAACAAACTTAATAAAAGTTTGGTTTATGATTACATAGATGAGTTATACATATTTAAAAATAAAATAAACGGAAATACCAGTAATATCTAATATATAAATATATATATATTTTAAATAAGGAGATATCTAGATATGGGTGGGGGCCTTACGAAATTTCGGGCAATGTCGTTCCCCGACATTGGCGAAATCGAGGAATTCTCAAAAATTAGTTGGCTTCCCTGGTATTGAGCAAAAACAACACTATCTTCTCTTACACTGGCTCCGGATAGTAATTGTCAGTGTTGCCAGGACTTCAAAACTATAAAAGCTAGATCGGCCAAATAAAAAAGCTAAAAGACCCAAAAAAGGTTGAAAAAAAGCCAGCAGTTTAAATATTTCATTAACTCTTATGAACAAAGAGGTGGTACAAATGTACCACCGAGCAACAAAAACGTAAATATCTCGACAAACAAACTACTTACGATCATGAAATTTCATGAAGTTCATTTAATAATAACCCATAGTCCTTATAGCCAAAGTAGTGCTACATTTGTACCATCAAATATCTTCATGCATAACAATACGATTACAATCGTGAATGTTTCAATTGGAGCGCGCATAATGAAGAGAAAACTATATAGTNATAGTCCTTATAGCCAAAGTAGTGCTACATTTGTACCATCAAATATCTTCATGCATAACAATACGATTACAATCGTGAATGTTTCAATTGGAGCGCGCATAATGAAGAGAAAACTATATATGTATACACGAAAATGAAGCAGACTAAACAGCGAAGTCGATTTCTATTTGACAAACTGTTTAACTTGACACAAGTGCTTCAAAGCATACCTTCACCGATTCAAACACGAAGCGGAACCCATATGCAACTACTGCGGAGCAGCATATTTAGCGAGATTTTCACCTCTGAGTCAGTCGTGGAGGCTATGCTACAAAGCAGCGAAAAATGGTCGACAGCATGTGACATAATAGCAGAGGCCATGAAGGGGCTAAGGACCCCCGAATGGCTGCGGCATAGCAGCGGTGACTAACTACCTTTTTCCCTAACGATGCAATGCTGCACGTCATTCCCGTACGGTGCGGAGTTCTAAGGAATAAAATGCTTTTCCTGGGGGGCTACTCTGTAATGCGATACTAAAGGGCAATGCGATACGATAGCTAAATACGCCGTAAGTAATATGCTGTGATGATTGCCTATCGCATCGCATTTCTCTTTCGCATCGCGTTACAGAGTAGCCCCCCTGGTTTCATAGGGACACTTGAGACCACTTGAAAAGCTGTTAAAGTATAAACAGAACGAGTTCGCTGAGAAAATTTCGTCGGACGGAGCGATGCAGAGGGTGATATTCGCTTAACATTTCGTCGGATAAAACTGAACCGGAACAATAATTTAGTGCTATTACAAATATTATAGAGGATTGTCTTTAAAAAAATGCTAGTTTGAAAACAAGAAAAGGTTAGAAAAAAACCACGAAGCTAAATCCTAAATTTCGAAGCTAAACGAAAAAAAGGAGAAAGCTAGATCTAGCCTCAAAAAGGCTAAACTGGCAACACTGCCAATCGTACACAAACCACTATCGGCTTATCAAAAGAGAGACAAGTCTGGATTTATTTCTGTTTTGTTGTTTATTGATAAAGAAATGCGATAGGTTTACTTTTGCATTACGTACAAGTGTTCAAATAATTTTCTTATATGTACATATGTATGCATGTATGTATGTTTGTATGTACACATGTATGTATGTATTTATGAAAATAAATTAAAAAAACTGCTTAAACTTAATAAGGTACGGTCATTTCCACAGATGTTATTTGATGATGCTTGTTATTGGCCACATTTACAGCTGGAACCGCAACCGCAACTGCCGCTTTGAGTTCCTGAGCCGCATTTGCAAGCTAGAAACAGAAAATGAAAATTTGATATAATAATAGAAAACATAAGATTTGAGAGGCTGACGGGTATCTTTAATATAAATCAATTGCTCAATTTAAATAAGCTACATACCGCTTCCACAGGGACAGCATTTGCAGGCCGAACCGCAACCACAATTGCCAGTCTTAGGCTCTGAGCCGCATTTGCATCCTAAAATTATTAACAAAACCAAAATTAAATAGATTTTTATAAGAAATGTGATATTCAGACAAAATGGTTTAAGTGCATAGTAGAAGATTATAGAAAAAACTAGAATATAAACCAAATATTTAATAAACTATTAACCGAGCTAAAGCCCAGTATGCAGCTATCAAGAAATGCGAAAACTCCATATAAAATGAAGTACAAGAAATGGCTAAGAAATTTTCTGGTGTAAAATTTTCTTGAGGTAGTACGCAGTTCTTAAGAAATTTGCTACGCTTTCTACTACGGTTTTCTAAAGTTTTTTTTTTGAAAAAAGAACACAAGGCAACTCATGCTTGCAACAGAAATATATGCCCGTTCCATTATTTCTTGAGGAAAGAGCGAGGCTGGTGAAGTATCAATTGTCAACATTCCTTGGACACACACACACGAAATAATGGCAATTTTTTCTTGACCGTTTTCTTGAGAGCTGCATACCAGCCTTAAATGGTGCTCAATATCAACTCACCGCTTCCACATGGGCAAGGCATTTTGTTTTATGTTGTTTTTGTATATTCTATACACTTGAAAAAATTAGCAAACAATTATTTTGTTGATCACTCAAGTTTAGCTTTGTAAACGCCAAATGTTGTTACACTGATCTGATCGTTGTTGCTCCTCTCGGTTTTATACACTTCAAAACAGTTGAATCGGGTTTCGTTAGTTGGGAGTTGTTTGGTGCCGTGCGCAAAAGCTGGCCCGAAGTCGGTAGCTGGAGTGCGGTGTGCAATATGTTTACTTAAGCCGNGTTGTTGCTCCTCTCGGTTTTATACACTTCAAAACACTTGAATCGGGTTTCGTTAGTTGGGAGTTGGTTGGTGCCGTGCGCAAAAGCTGGCCCGAAGTCGGTAGCTGGAGTGCGGTGTGCAATATGTTTACTTAAGCCGCGGTCATACACATATGCACATACATATGAAATAAGTAGATATGTGCGCATGTACATATGCCGGCTTGTATGTTCATATATAGGTATGCTTATGGGCTTGGGCTATCGGCAAGTCGCATTGATTTTGTTGGGTGGAGCGCACATGTGGGAGAGTAATGGTATTAGTTGAACGCCGGGTGACACATTGTTCCCAGTAAGAATGTTTGTGTTCAATATTGTGAAAATGTTAAATGTTTAATGATAGCAGCTATTTCGGGGATCACCACATCTCCCCATCAGTCTTCTTTTTTCTAGACTTCAGCAGGGATCCAACCTGCGTAATCGATGTTTAAAGTCAGAAGCGTTAACGACTGGGCTATGTACACCCCGTCTAGAAAAAAAAGAACTCTGATGAGGAGATGTGGTGTTCTCCGAAATAGCTGCTATAACTTCTACCGCTTAGACTTTGTTGCTTTTTCAATTTTTCCAAATAAACAATCGTGGTACAAAGCTCAATAAAAATATTAAAAATAAAATGTTAATAAGCCACAATAATATGGACAAATAAAAAGTTGACTATTTAGACAAGTCTCACAGGTTTCGTACAGATTTCTGGGCGAAATGTCTGGAGAATTTTGTTTATTTCCTTATCCGATATGTCTGATCGAATTATGTCCGATTTCGGGCATACACGTCTGATAAATCTTATTTTCCATGATTATTTGGTCAGACATCTGTTAGATATCTGTCAGAATCGTCGGTCAGAATTTCCCACGTGGTGTCGGTTAGACTTCCTGTCAACCTCTCCATACGCTTCTCTGACCGATATCGGCCAAAATCATACAGACCTCTGACTTTTTTGCCGACGAGTCTGAGGGATATCTTAACAGATTTCTGGCAATTTTGCTAGCTGGGAAAGTGAAAATGAATTGAATTGAATTAAAAGACAATTTTTGGTATGAATATCTAAACATAATGAGAACTTGAATGAGGAATAAAATAGTATTCCCTGAGGCATGATTTCGGAGCAAAAACTGAGACTTGTCGGTTTTGTACTCCGTTATTACTCGCTTTGGTACAAAAAGCGAGTAATCCAAGAGTATTGATTTTGATCGATAAGGGAGTTATACGCACCTCGTTAAAAACAATTTTGTATTTTTGGAAAAATGTGTCCATGGACGTAGCCAGGTAGGGGCAAGGGGCGGGCCGCTCCAGCTACCCTAACATTCAATTTTTTTCCTATATATTCAAAAATAGTACCAGGAAATGTTAGCACGGGAAGATATTTCGGTGCAAAGCAACGATTATAAATCGTTATTTTATCCTACAAAATTGCGGACGAATAATACATAGTACTAAGGCTGTGCGATAAATTGATTTTTCAAAATTTTAATTAATCATAAAGTAAATAACTCAATTATTCTATTTATTGGAAATTATGATTCCTCAAAAGTTCAGTTACTCGAGTAATCAAGATTTTGATTAACAAAAAAACATTTGGGTAATTTGCTTTATGAATAATCAACATCATGAGTAAAACGAGCAATCAACATTTCAAAGTACTCATTATATATCGTCTTCAAAAGAGTCACAACTCAAAATATTACGTTTGTCAGAAAATGCGAAAAATTATTTCTTGGCACATGATAATCATATGGGCAAAGGCGACTTTACCTTAGTTTTTTTAATAAATTATAACAAAAATTTGCTCCAGCTTTTGCTGAAAGGTAAATAAAAGTTCTGCGTGCATTTTTCCATAATCTCAAAAATGCCAAATTTTGAGTTTTGACTCTTTTGAAAACGGTGTGCTATATAAAGCAGTTGAAGTTCCTTGATACCAGGGTACGAAAATAAACTATATTGTATGTTACTATTTCGTTTTGTTTATTACTTCAACAGTTCCGTACAAAACAGAAATAAAACGGCTGAGTTCATTTTGACGATTGTACACTACACTCTTTTAGTAGTTGTAAACGAAACAACAAACGAAATGAATCGTACAAAGAAATAGATACATAAACTAAACACAAAACGAATGGCTGGAACAAATGAGTATGATACTAGTGTTACTTTTACTAATATTGTAAATGTGAAAGTTTTTTTGTTTGGATGTTAGTTACTCAATCACACAAAAACGGCTAAACAAATTATAATGAAATTTCGCACGTAGATAACTTATTGCTTGGATTAACGTAGAGGATACTTTTTCCGTTAGGTGGATCAAGTTTTGATCTATTGGAATAATCTTATTTAAGGGACGATATATTTGAAATGTGACACGTAGATGGCTTATTGCCTGGATTAACATAAAGGATAATTTTTTTCCCGTAGGTGGACCAGGGTCGGATTTGTTCCCAAAAATCTTAAATTTTGGTCCGATCTGCAAATTTTGGTTTCCCGACAATAATTAAAAAATAATTTAAAATGTGCAAGCAAAGATGCCGACAGACGCTCTTATATATTTGATTTTAAAATAACATGAATAAACACATCTAATTCATAACATAACAAAAAATGTCAAGATATTTAAGTTATTACCGTTAGTAATTTTTCAAAGATATGTAATTATATAGTGCTTATCATAAAGTGTAGTTTATTCTTTAACAATTACCGAGCAACGTTTAAAAAAATCAACAAACTTTCGTAAAAATTTCGAGCTTTTTAATTAGATTTTTAGAAAGATTTTGAGTATGCTGTTTTGTAGCTCATTAAATTTTACTTACTGTGATAAACTGCAAATTTGAAATAGCTGCGACTTGCAATTTTTTTGTTGACAATCTCAATAATTTTCTTTCAATGTTCGACGATTTTTTTATATAGAGAAAATGAGCTACACCTTCAACAAAAAAAATGCCTAAAATCAACGGCGCTTCCCAGTTGCTTCAAACTTGCACTAAAATTAAGTGGGCTTCAAAACTGCATACTCAAAATATTTCTAAAAAATCTAATTAAAAAACTCTAAATTTTGTTGATTTTTTTTAAATGTTGCACGAGGAAAGAGACTATACTTTAATAAAAAAGATATTAAAATTAAAAAAATTAATAAAATAATAGTCAATTCTCGTCAATATGGGAGTGTCCTAAAGTTATGATAAGCACTTTATATTTATATATTAGTCATAGTAATCAAATATTCCATTAGCTCTAACAAGTAAAATGTGTTCCAAACTCATTGGCGTTAAATTGTTACGTTGGTCCGACAAAATATATTTTAAAGCAGAGAATAATCGCTCTACACTAACTTGAGTACAAGGAATTGCTAAAATAGTTTCAGCAATAAAAGTTAATGAATTGTTGTGTGTACTCCAAAATTCCATTACATTTTCTTCAAATGGAATCCTCTGCTGCCGTTCGTACAGAAGTAGTTCAGTATCCATAGTCAAAAACGTTGAATTTATTGGCTCTTCATTGGTGGGAATAGGGTATAACTTGCATAGGAATTCATCCATTGTCCTAGGTGCATTGCATGATTGACTGCTAGTTGAAGGCTCATCACTGTTCTGTTTTGATATTTGCTGTTCATTGTCGGGTTTATTGATTTCTTTGTGGGTTGAAAGAAGACAAACAATTGTATTAGCATTAAAAAAATGGTAACGAAGAAATAATGTAACACGTTAGTTAAATAAAACTAGATACCTTTAATACTGGAAATTCGTGAGTGTACTTTGCATATACAAGCCTTTGCTTTTGCAATTTGGTCTGGTTCCAAAACAACTTTTACTCTCGGATCGAGAAATAAAGCTGTGTTGAATAACTCATTGTCGAAGAGTTTTGTTTTTCTTTTATTAATAGCACGAAGCAAAGAAATTTGAAGGTCGTTTTTTTCAAGACTTTCAACCTGGAGGGCAATTTCCATCATAATAATGTACAAGTCGCTGTAAAATAATTTTTAGGACTGTAATTTTATAGTAGCATTGTACACACTATGGAATGTTTTTAAGAATTCGTCTAAAAAACTCCATTCTTCGTGATTCATTACTAAATCCAAATTATCCTCGCTCAACGACGTAATAATATCTTTTAACTCTGATAACCTTTCGAGCATACTGTATGTCGAGTTCCACCTCGTCACACAGTCCAAAATTACTCTTTTGTAACCTCCGTTTTTTAAAAGACTAAGGTATGTTTGGGTTCTTAGTTTTTTCACAACGTATCTAAATTTTTCTAATTTTTCTTTTGCGTTTTCTGTTTTTAAGACGTCATTCACGCAAAGCTGCAGAGTATGCGCACCGCAACGTATATTAGTAATAGTTTGTGAGCTTATGCTTTCTTCAATTGTTTTTAAAGTACTTTCAGTAGAGGTATTGTTTTCTTCAGATGGATTATTAAAGTCTGCATTTAAATCCTGTATTGCTTTCACCATGTTTGCTCCATTGTCCGTGGTTACCGTCAATATTTGGTTTGAGTTAATTTGGTAATCGTTTAATACTTCTATTATCACTGACTTCAAATATTCACCAGTATGTCTTTTCTTTAATTCCTTGATGGCTAAAGTTTTAATAATAATATTCTTATTTTGTATGTACTGAACATTTATGCCAATGATGCTTAAATGTTGTCGTGTTGCTGC